TTTTTTGAAACTAAGCCCCTGCTTCACTTGTAAGTACTAGCAAGGGCTTGTGATGTTAGTGTTGAATGTCTTCCAACTAATTTATCCTGTTCAACCAAGCTTCCATCCATTACTATAGTAACAGTGAATCACTTTAACCCCCCTTGTTAGGCAAATGGTGGGAAACAAAAATGCTGGGAATTCCACAGGGATAGTTTTCTTTCTACTCTTTATTTCCTACTTCTTCACTGCAAATCTAAACCTTCTAATTAAATATGTACTTCTAAAAATTATTAAATTTAAATTATCAAATTCAATTTAATGGTCTAAATTTGCAGTGATTCTTTCTTTGCTCTCCTCTGTAGAGGAGGAAAGTCAACTCGCAGGAGATTCTATCTCCCAGCAAATGGTGGGGGCCGCTTGGGATTCAAACTCACGTTGATGCTTGATCTTGACGGGTGGAAAAGCATGTGATGATACTGAAAGGCATCAATTATTGGGTGTTCCTGCAACAACTGTTCTGTAACGAGACAATTTCCCAAGCATTGGTACTGTCCGTTGTAATCAAGTGGCGCGGAATGATTTTGAAAGCATGGTGAGGAATTCCAGGAAGGAGGGAAACACCTTATCAAACCCTGATGTCAGACGAACAAAGGAAGCAAACAGGGAGGATCGTGGTGGGAAGAGAGGTGAATACAACAATGAGTGGGTGAGGGTGAAATCAGCATCATGCGGTTCCAGGTTTGGCAAACATCCATTAGGACCACAAAGAAATTGTTGTGTATTTGTCTAGCAGGACCACGTTCCGCTGATGCGTTATAGTGTTGGGACCCTGGGAGGAACACGGCTGGTGTTGTACGGCGCAATGTCAGATTTCCTTCAGCAGTGAAAACAACCTCCATGACCTTTCCTAACTAAACTCGCTGTATATGCTAGGATTAACGACGCTTTCTGTTAAACTAGGATTTCATTTCGTATCCAGTTCATTAATTTCGTGAGTTCATGAGTAATTGTCTTCAGCCCATGGGTCGTCGGGGAAGCTGGCTTTTTCCCCGTTATCACTCGGACAATGGCAATGTCTCCGTCCGGCTCTGTCTGAAATCGTTCCGTGCAGAGAAGGGATTTATCGAAGGATTCAGTTGAAACTAAATTTACATTCACTGAGCAGCCAGTGAACGGGAAATTTGGCTAAAAAAGAAGTGCATTTGAATAGAAATGGTTTCGGAATGGATGACACCGAGACGTTCTTTTTTTTAAAAGGTTTGACTCTTTAGATGCCTAGATTTCTTTTTTAATCCGGTGTGATTAATGTACAACAGTACAAGCTTGTATTGCGAGCTTGAAGCACGTGAGCGTTGGAGGATAATGGCGTCACGTGCACTGCAAGACTGCATCTTGAAATAAAACTATTATCTGCATTAAAAAATATAAAATATTTTTAATTAAATTTTATTTCTTAATAAAATAATTATTTATTTTTAAATTAATATTATTTTTTATATTTACTTCTATTTAACATTCTATAATAAATAAAAAATTACTGTTAATAGAGCCACTTAAAAAAATAATGATTACACTTTAAAAGATTAAAATCACATTATATTTTTTAACATCTAATTCTACAAAAAATATTTTATATTTTTGAATTGATGGAGTACATTGTAATCTTTTTCCACAATAATTAAAGAATTTTTTAGTTTGGAAAAAAAATTTAGAGCACTTCATTATATATTTTATGAGATTTTTCTTTCTTTCTTTCCCTCTTTTTTTTTAACTTTTTTGCCCGTAACTTTAGATGAGTTGAAACAAAAACAGAAAATTCTCAATTTTAATTTACTGTTAGTTTTTTATGTAAGCATTTTTTTTTTTTTGGTGTGGGTAAGTCTATGCGGAAAGTTCCCCGTTAAGGGCATGTATTTAAATAATTTTTAAAAGTATATTCAAACTACATTTGAGACATGCTTTATCAAATTTAGTAAATAATTTGATCTTCCAAATGAACTTTTGCCATAACATTAAGTTTTTTTAAAAGTGGCACTTTTAATTAAATAAATGCATAAAATATAATGAAAATAAAATGAAAATGAAAAAAAATATGACACCAAACTATATGTATCCTAACGTGGACTAAAAAATTAACAAAAATACTCATAAAGTTATTGCTTTAAACATTCAATAACCTAAAGTAAGAAAAGGACGAGAATATCTACAATGTTGTTTTAATTATAGTGATCGATCTATCAAAATTCATGTTACGTGATTTTTTTTCCATTGCCATATATCTCATGTCCTTTTCTTTCTCTCTTCACTCATTTTTCTTATTTGTAAAACTTGAAATTCAACACGATGAGATAAGTTGCACGCGATTAAAGATTGAGACTAGAGACACTATGACTCACTGTAAAGAATACAAGCACTTTATAAAATAGGTTGTCTCTCCTCGAAACACTTTCGTAACTATGCATATTTCTTACGCTACCTACTTTAAGAACATGAGGCGAAATTTGTTTATAATGATGTTCAAATTCCTCAATTGGCCCTTGACAGTATTACAAGAAGTAATAGTTTAATTTGTTGTTCAGTCAAAAATGATATTTTCAAGTATGGTACTCATATAATGATCAATCAACTTCCATAGAATTTCACATGAGAATATTTTTTTTATCTACATCAACAAAAAAGAGTAAACTTTTGCTTATGCATTAATTAAATGGTTAACATTTAAAGAATTTGATGAATTTGTCACTCTTGCACCTATTAAAATAACATTATAGGTTTTCCTGCCTTTTCTATCAATTTAGGTTATTAGACGCCGTTGATTGATCACTTGGTGAATATTTTTTTTTATTTATCTAATAATAAATTAAGTAGATTCAAATGAGTGTTAGAGTTTAAATATTTAATAATTTGTAGGATAGAGAGTTTGATATTAATTTTAAACACTAACAGTTGTTTGCCGAGAGACTTCAGCCAGGTTAACTTTTCTTGGCCGTTCAATTATTATTATCTGCTAGCAATCGTCAAGAGATTGTGAGACTATCATGTTGTGCGCTTATGGGAGGCTGAAGAAGTACTTGAAGGGGGAAAAGGCACAAGTTGAATAAAAAGGATGCCACATGCCGGCTCTCAATATTAGGCCATCATTCATCAACGGCCCATGAAGCCTTTTCCCTACAAAGAACTCCGTCAGACTGATCTATAAGACGCCACTTAACAGTATGCCCACTAATTCTGCATCAACCTATGTATTTCACTGCCTTTTTGTTTTTTTTTTATTATTTTCTAAAGTATAAGGAGTAGGCATATTTTTATTATTAGTATTAGGGTTTTCATGAATGGTATAGGAATAGGATGTACAAAATGAGTCGTGTTATAGACAACTTGGAAATATACGCATGATCTGGCGTCAATCCCTTCATTGTGTATTCAATATGAATAAGGAGGTTGGGATAAATATTGATAACATGCCTAATTGACACTTGTTGGAGGATTATCCACAAGAATAAGTCAAATGAGTGGCCTGCTATATCTATCATTACAAAGTAAAACATATTTAGGGTTTCCACCTCGCAATTCTCGGTACAAAATATTTGTTTTTTTTTAAATTAATTACTTTTGTTTATGTTTTCACATGCACTGAAAATCCCCCCCTTCGAAATGCTTGTCCCAAAAAAATAGCAATCCGTTACAAACTATATATATTGTTGGTTTAAATAAGTGCTAAATAAACAACGGCAACTTTTTTTTTTTAAACGACAGCTACTTTTTTTTTTCATGTAGTACTGTGTTAATATTATAATTAAAAATAATATTTATCCTAAAAGCAGTTGTAATAAATCATGATTCTTAGCTAACTAGGATAGAAAATGGATCGTGGGCGGTCAGTCACCCAAGCCCATGAGTTGGGGGGAACGCCATTGACGGGGAGCGTGTAATTACTCGCTGAGGGGGACAGCGAACTTGACCAACGTTGCGTTAAATCCGTGAGTTGAACTTATCCCTCCCATGTTATCTATCAATGTTCATTATTTTTCTTTTTTATTTTTATGAAACATCGTTTGAATTCATTAAATGATTTCTGGATAATATCCAATGAATAAATTCTGCCCTTGTTTTTTTTTTAAAATATTGCAAGTAAATCCCTGAATGTGCTCAAATTTGCCAGGCTGCTTTTAACTCCTGCTTCAGCTTACCGCCTCAACTTCTACTTACAAATCTTAATTGTTTCATTATGTACTATCTCCCACTCTTAAAATTAATACATGACTCACTATGTTGGCCAAAAAAAAAAAAGACTTTATTTCCGTTTTATATAAATATATATATATGACTAACTTGGTTACCTAGTCGCGCCCTAATTTGTTGTGAAACCCTCCAGATTGGAGTGTACGAATGCATTGCTGGCCCAAAAAAGTCGTCTCTTACTCACTTGGACTTGTTAACAGCTTCCTTAGATATCAATGCTGTTTTGCCGCAACCCGGAGCCCGGAGGGACCTCGGGCTTTCTCTGTTCCTGATTCGAACAAAAAGGAAAGAATCCCACGAAACAGGGATGGAGCTGACTCGTTAAACAAAACAGATTAAATTATTAAACTACAATTTACTAATTACTAAATTTACTAATAATACGTGTACGTGACGTTCCATTTCAAAAATGTATTCTTCCACAGAAATTATAATTTGTCAGAAAGAGATCCCCTTGGTACTTAATTACTATCATACGCGGTCTTTTTTTTTTTTAAACAATTTGTATATGCAGGCAAAACAAAAAATAAATCCTGTCGGCAAAGAGTGAATATTGAGAGATTTTTTGTAATTTAATGTGGAAAAAAAAATAGAATGGAGGCAAAGAAAATGAAAGAAAGCTTGCAGTCGGCAATATGGGCAAGGTTGAGTAATTGCAACTCGTTGGAGCCACAGGCACCCCAAGTGGCTGTTAAAGAAAGGTCCATTTGTGTTATTTTGTGGTACTTTTGGACTCTTGCTGTGTGGTGTGTGCCGTGTAATAGGAGTGCGAGTGCGAGTGCGTGTGCGTGTTCGTGTGTCTATGACTTTTTATCTGCTGCTTCTCTGTTGCAATTTGCAAATTAAATGGACTTCATCTTGTGGGTTAATATCTTCCAACGCGAAGATTCAGGGACCCCATTTTTAATTTTTCCACTTCTTCGTGAGAATTTTGGGCTCAATTTTTGAAATTACCAACAGATATTATTGTGGAGTCAGTTACGGCTTTTGTTTTATTTCTTGTTCCATCCTCTTTACTTCTCTGTCATGCTCTCCTGCTGTTCTTTAATTGCTTCTCTTTTTTTATTTTTCGAGCAGTTCCTTTAATTCATTCCAGTCTCCTCACCATGTCTCCACTTCCGCCTTCGATTCTCCACTCTCACTTCTCTTCCCTATGATCATCTCCTTCTTGCTTGAATGAGAATCCCAACAGATTTCAGGATTTTGGTAGCCGCACCAAATTCCGTTCAAGATACCTTCAAGCCTTCGGAGTTAAGATTCTCGAGTCTCGAGGATTCGGATGTGTTAATTGAGAGCTTGCCAGTGAGCTTGTGAATTCGGAAGGAATTGTTTCCGTCGCTTGTCTGACAAATTGGAAATCAGAGCAATCGTCAGCATCGACTTGGGATTATGTTGTTCGGTGGGAAAATCTCTCGCTAAACGATTTGCAATCTTCGTGTGAAATTTCTCTGACCCTTCGTGGATAAGTGGCGCCGATCCTGAATCCACCTCTGCTGTGGTCCTGCACGCTTTCCCGGGTTAGAAATTCTTCCCTAAAATTCACTCTAAGATTTTTAACTATACTCAATTAAGGAAATTCACAAGGTTGCAGAAATTTTGCAGTGAAACGACACTGGGAACTTCTGTACTCTATTCTTTAAAGAGATGATTACATTTCTGGAGTTGAAGGAGAAATTGAAAGACGAGGACAAATGCTTGGATAGTCAACTGTGGCATGCTTGCGCCGGTGCGATGGTACAAATGCCCTCGTTGAACTCCAAGGTATTTTACTTCCCTCAGGGTCACGCCGAGCATGCATGCGGACCTGTGGATTTCAAGAAGTGCCGGAGGTTTCCTCTTCCGCCCTACATTTTATGCACAGTCGAGTCTGTTAAATACATGGCTGATCCCGAGACAGATGAGGTATATGCGAAACTCGGGCTTGTTCCTTTGAATGGCAAGGAAGCTGATTATGATGAGTTTGAGGACGATGGCGTCGGAGGCGGCAACGATGGATCTGAAACTCAAGATAAACTTGCTTCGTTCGCAAAAACCTTGACGCAGTCGGATGCCAACAATGGGGGTGGTTTTTCGGTTCCTAGATACTGTGCAGAGACAATTTTTCCTCGTTTGGACTTTTCTGCGGATCCTCCTCTTCAGTATATTGAGGTTAAAGATGTTCACGGGGAATCGTGGAAGTTCAAGCACATTTACAGAGGCACGCCGAGGCGGCATCTTTTGACCACAGGATGGAGTCCATTTGTGAATAAGAAAAAACTCGTGGCTGGGGATTCAATAGTATTTTTGAGGGGACAAAACGGGGATCTCCACGTAGGAATTCGACGAGCTAAAAGAGGAAATGGTCGTCGATTCGAGTCTTCATCAATGTGGAATTCAGGGAGTGAAAACTGTTCCGTACCTTTTGATGGATTTTCGGCCTTCTTGAAGGGTAATGATAGCAAAAAACTGGCGATCAATAATGGTAGTGGCAATCGAATGATTGGCTCAAGGGGCAGCGTGGTGGCCAGTGGGAAAGTGAGAACCGAAGCGGTTATTGAAGCTGCGACTCTTGCTGCTAATGGACAGCCCTTTGAGGTGGTTTACTACCCTAGAGCAAGCACCCCCGAGTTCTGTATAAAGGCCTCCTTAGTCAAAACAGCACTGCAAATCAGGTGGTGTTCTGGAATGAGGTTCAAGATGGCTTTTGAGACAGAGGATTCTTCACGGATAAGTTGGTTCATGGGAACCATATCTTCAGTGCAGGTTGCTGATCCTCTACTCTGGCCTGATTCGCCTTGGAGGCTTCTCCAGGTAACATAAAGTTTCACCCAACTTTAATTCCTCTTCAAGCTTAACTAACGGCATACTTCATAATAACTACTGTACTGAAGGGTTCATATTGGATTTGTATAGGTTACATGGGATGAACCAGATTTGCTTCAAAATGTGAAACGGGTGAGCCCCTGGTTGGTTGAATTGGTATCCAACATGCCTGCAATCCCTCCACCTTTCTCACCGCCGAGGAAGAAAATGAGGTTGTCTCAGCATCCAGAGATTCCACTTGATACCAAAATTTTTGCTAGCAACCTCTTAGGTACCACCAACAACCTCTTCGGTTATCATCTACCAGAAACCACTCCTGCTGGCATGCAGGGAGCCAGGCATGGTTTTTACGGTCTACCTTTACCCGATCTCCACCTCGATAAATTGCAGTCCCCCCTATATTTCACTGGTCTTCCACCTCTTGGTCATGCTTCTATGCAAACCAGGGTCTGTTATAACACAGCATTGCAAAATCATGGCGTGAGTGAGAATGCCTCTCACTTGATTTCCAAGGAAACTTCTGCCCATTCTTTGAAGGAACAGGATGACAAGAAGACGCCTCACCTCATGCTTTTTGGGAAAAAAATTCTTCCCGAGAAGCAGATATCCCAAGTTTTCATTCGTAATAGTTCATTACATGGAAATGCTCATGAAGGGGCCAATCTTTTTGATGATAAGCGCAAGGAATCTGATCGGTCCAAGTTTGACGGGGGTCACTGTTAGTTTTTTTTTTTTTTTTGAAGAATCAGAATTTTTGGGTCGGACTATGAATCAACCTCTCGTGGCTGGGATTTAAAGAAGAACTGCATAGGGAGATGACATGTTTGGAATTTTTTATCTGATGAGATGCCGAAATGTACTTCGCCAGATACAAAGGGTGTAGTCAAACGCACTGAAGGTGAATGATGGCTGCGGATAGGGATTTTTTTTTATCCCTTTTTGGTAAAATGATGCAAGTAGGGTAATTGTACCATTCATAGGATTTAATTTGCATTTGGCCTGATAGTCTGACGTGAACGTGTTCGTGGATTCTTGAGCCACTTCATTAAAAAAAAGAACGGCTGGGAGGTTGACCATTTTGATAAACTCCGGCAGTGACAGTGGAGCTAGGGGGAATAAGAAAATAAACTTCTATTTTTATTTGTACAGCGGTCGATCAATGATCATATCCTTTATTCTATTATGAGCCTTTATAGCTTATAGTAGCCACTTTTGAAAGGAGACAATCTTATCTAATTCAAGGATGTTTTCCTTCGGATTTGCGTTTTATTCGTTCTCGGGATTAGAGGACACCTGGACTTTAGAATCTTGAGGTGCAATGGCAGCTCTGTTCACGTTGTAACGTTTCTCCTTGGTTTTTAACATGGCGTTGTTGATTTTGATTTCCTTTAAAAATTTTGTCATTATGAGACAATGACGAAAGCATCTTCCGCGCGCTTCCATGCGGTCATCTAAGATTGCATCTTTGTTTTCTTGCTTTTGTCTGTATAATACTAAAAGTCAGCGCTGAGTAGGTATTTACAAAGTCCCGAATGTACAGTGTCATAAAGGAGATCATGAAATGTGAACAAGCTTCCAAACCGGAGACAAAAAACAGTTGTTGCTGTCTCGAGACACAGTTGGATTGGATTAATCTTATTTTAAGAGGTGTCTAATTTATTGCTGGAGGCGAAAAGCTGAGTTAAAACGAGGAAGGCAATGAATGGTGGAAGCAGGGGTTGGGGACATGGGTGGTATTGACTAAATCAGCAAGCGACGAGGATGGGTCGAGCATGAGATGTCTCACAAGGCAACAGGATTCGCAGCAAGTAAAAGGGTGCCACATATGGAGGAGAACCCGAACAAGTAATTTTCTCGTCCACGAAGGAACAGAAAACTAAACCAAATCAACACGCGTGATGCGTCCGATGTCACATCGTGGGGGCAGCGAAGCGTGGGGGGCAATTAATCAGGTTTTGTTAGAAAAGCAGTATTTATTCGATGGGCTGGTATGGGGACTAGCAAACAGAGACCGCCAAGCTCAAAGTCAATAAACAAATAATACAACTCGACAACAAGATACTCCAGAGTCCAGAAGGCAACACATGTACTAGAAAATGAAGATTAGGCCGCACGTAAGAACGCGGGGCCCTGTCCCGTTGGGGTCAACCCCAGGATAGGTTCACGTGCGGGTTCGGCCACGTATAGCGGCGGACAGGCTGTCTTTGCTTTGGGGTTCCTGGAACGGTATCGCGTGAAGTGACTGGGCTGGTCACTGGTCTCACCGGGCTGATGTAGGATGCATGAAAGTCTTGGACGCATGTGACCTTTCCATGCGTGTCTTAAATACGTAATGTTGGGTTTCTACCTAATTGGATATATTTCTAATGTTAGAGAAGGCCGTGTTCTGTTGACGCGGCACGCGCAAAATCAGTTTCAGCTAGACACGTGTCGAGATTTTTCATAGTTCTGCGAGGAGAAGACTGACGAGGAGGAGGAGCGAGTTGGGAAAGACAAGAGAGCAGAGGATAGAAGAAAAGAAGAAGGAATAACAGAAGGAGCACAGCGGCGTATAGTTTTGAGGGAGGGACAGACATTTGGACGTTCGGTTCGAAATTAATGGCGTGAAGAAATTAAAATGCGCTCCTTACGAAATGAATGCTGATTGGTGGGTTGTCCTCGAGAGTTCAGAATGAGGGGCCCAGGATATATGGGAGGCGTTCATTCGTTGACGCTGTTGTCAGCCACACCTTAGCCTCCTCGCAGTCCTTATCACTTGTTTATTTTTGTTGCCAAAGTCTCGTTTTCTTGCTCTCCCCTGAATGATTCCAAGAAACGAGTAATTATTTCAATTTTAGTATGTTTTTTTTTTTGTAATGTTGATTACAATTAATTTAATACTACAAAACATTTTATAAAAACAAGGAGAAAGAGGGGAAGAAAAGAGAATAGCAAGGTAAGAAGAATTGAAAAAAAAAATAAATTATAGTTTATTCACCTAGAAATGCAATGCTTTGTATATAGCTTCTATTTACAAGCCTTTAACTATTTAAGTCTAACCTTAATATTATAAATAAATAAAGAATGACCAAATAGTATAGTATGTAACTTTTGGAGATTATAAGACATTAACCTTGGGACACTTCTTTAAAGTTATTCATTGGGAGGTTATGGGAGATGAAGAATTCTAAGTATTAAGAGTTATGGACATCTACTCATATAATCATATAATATTCATAATACTCTTTCTTGGATGTTCATAACAAATATTATACATCATTAAAACCTTACTAGGAAAAATCTAAAGGGATAAAAACCTAGTGAAAGAAAAATAGTACAAGTATTTTTAAACACTAGTTAAAGTTGCCTCATTAAAAACCTTTAAAAAAAAATTAGTGGGACAAAACCTTAGAAAGAGAAAAAGAGTACAACATGGTATATATTTCTCATAGTCTCCCCTTGATAACAATATTACTTCACCCCCTGATGGTACCATAACTTTATATCTCTAAATCTGTGCATGCTAATGTCATACACTAACTTCTCAAATGTCAAAAGTTGGCAATATCTTAATAAACAAATTTGCAAGCTTGTTACAAGAGTGAATTTACTGAACATCTATATCACCATTATTTAAAAGGTCACAAGTGATTTTTTTTTTGAGAAATATATTCTGTTTTATCTCATTTGATTTATTCTCCTTTCAATTGAGCTATACACGCTATGTTATATCTTCATATAATATTGTTAGAATCTTTTTTTCCGAACAATAAATCACATATCTTTTGGATATGATCAATCACTGGCCTTAGCCAAATACATTATCTACTTGTCTTGTGCATTGCAATTATTTCTATATGATTTGATAAGGTAGTAGCTAAAGTTTATTTTGTTGAATGCCAAAATATTGATGTACTCCCACAAGTAAACAAATATTCAATTTGTTATCTATCTTTATGTGGATATGATCAAAATCTTGCATCTGCATAACCACTAAGTTGTGATCCAAATTCATTATAATAAAAAAATCGAAATAAATGTTTAACTCTATTTCATTGCCTTTTTGTTGAGGAAGAACTAAATCTTGCTAATAAATTTACAGTGAATGCAATATCAGGTCTTGTTAAATTGGCAAGATACATTAGCGCGCTTATAGCATAAAAATATGGTACTTCAAAATCAAGAAGTTTTTTATGTTTCTCTTGAGGGTGAAAATAATCTTTTTTTTTCATTAAGAGATCTTACAACTATCAAAATAGTTAATGAATGTGTTTTGTCCATGTAAAATCGTTTCAATATTTTTTTTCAATATAAGTTGGTTGATGAAGAAAAATTTCATTTGCTAGGTGCTTGATTTGTAAATTGAGGCAAAATTTTGTTCTTCCTATATTTTTCATTTCAAATTCTTTCTTTAAACAATCAACTACCTTTTGGAGCTCTTTAGAAGTTTCAATTATATTCAAATTATTCACATAGATAGCAATTTTAACAAACTTTAAACTCATTTTTTTTAAAAACACATGGAGAAATTGAATCGTTTTTATAACCCTCATTCAACAAATATTTATTGAGACGATTATATCATATCCTTCCAAATTATTTCAGTCCATAAAGATTTATGCAAACGAGTTGCATATTTTTTCTAAATAATTTTTACATGCTTCTGACAATGTGAATCCTTTAGGAATTTTCATATAAATTTCTGTATCTAAAGAGCCATATAGATAGACTATAATGAATTCATTCGACGAATATCAAGTTTTCTATGCACTGTTAGACTAATTAATTATCTTAAAGTAATTGCGTTCACCATAGGAGAATATATCTCTTCATAATCAATATTAGGTTTTTGCGAAAATCCTTGGGCTACTAAATGTGCTTTACATCTAACAACTTTATTTTTCTCAGTTTGTTTTCACACAAATACCCACATATATCCTACTGGCTCTACACTATTAGGTATTCAGACTACAAATCCAAAAACTTCACGTTGTGAATGTGAATTTAACTATGCTTGAATTGTATCTTTTCATTTTGGCCAATCATTTCTATGTCTACATTCTTCAACCGATTTTGATTCTAAATCCTTGTTTTAATTCATTATTGCCAGAGCAACATTATATGAAAATATGTCGTCAACGACTATATTTTTTTGATTCCATCTTTTTTCCATGGTGACATAATTTATCGAGATCTATTTATTATATTTATATACTTGGACCTCTTTTGGGATCTTTTGATTAGTTATGTCTTCATACCCTTCTAGAGTATCAACCTCCTCTACTATGTCATTTTTATTTTATACTCCTTTCTTCTTTCTAGGAATTTTATCTTTGGAACCAATTGGTCTACCACGTTTCAAGTGTTGCTTAGATTCATTTGTACTTTCTAATTGTCCTATAGGGATGTCAATTCTAATAGGAATAGTTTTAGCTGGAATATGAAACTTGATAATTTTTTAAGGTTAGTAAATTCACCTGACAATTGATTTACAATATTTTGCAGATGAATTATCCTTTTAACTTCAAGTTCACATTGTTTTATACAAGGATCTAGATGAGATAATGATAATACATTTTATGTAATTTTTTTTCCAGCTGCTTATCTTCTCCCCCTGATATTGAAAAAATTATTTCATCAAAATGACAATCGTCAAAACATGCAGTGAATAAATCTTCAGTTAATAGTTTTAGATGCTTGATTACAGAAGGAGATTCAAAACTAACATATACTCCAACCTTCTTTAAAGTCCCATCTTTGTGCGTTATAGTGGAGCAATAAGAACAAACACCGCATATCCAAAAATTCTAAGATAGAAAATATTTGGCTCTAACCAAAAGTCAATTGTAACGGGAAAAGTTTGTGATAACTTGTTGACTTGACACATATAAGTGTTGTTGCATGTAAAATCACATATCCCCATGCAGAAATAGGAAGTTTTATCCTCAAGAGCATTGACCTAACTATCAATTGGAGGTGTTTAATGAATGATTTTGCTGGACCATTCTGAGTGTGGACACGAGCAATAAATCTTTTCATTATTATTCCAGTTGATATGTAATACTCGTCAAAAATTTGCAATGAAAATTCACTTGCATTATTAAGACAAATTATCTTAATTGCATGGTATGAAAATTGTACTCTTAATCAAATTATCTGGGTAAGTAATCTAGTAAATGCAAAATTACGTGTTAATAACAAATACACATGTGACCATTTTATAGATGTAGCTATTAAAATTATAAAATATCTAAATAGTCCATATGGTGGATGGATAGGTCCACATATATCCCCTTATATGCGTTCAAGAAAAGTAGGGGATTCAATTCCGACTCTTGCAATTGAATCCTTTTAATTAATTTTTCTTGAGAACAATCAGCACATGAAAAATCTTAAAATGAAGAATTTTCTAGTTCTTTAATAGATGTCTATGTAAATTTTTAATAATTCCTTACATCATAGTTGACCCGATATAGCCTAACCAATCATGCCAAATGATAAATTTATCTTGATTGATAAACTTCTTGTTGACTATAGTATTTATTTCAATTGTACTAATAGTTGTATAGTACAAACCAGGAGATAATATGGATAATCTCTCCAGCACACATTTCTTTCCAGATTTAAAATATGTAGTATGTAGATATTCAGTATCTTTGTCATTCGTAGTCTCAATATGATGCACATTTTGGCAGATATTTTTAAAACTTAATAATTTTTTTAGACTTAAATAAATATAATGCGTTGTCTATGATAATTTTTATTCCTTTAGGTAATATTATAATTGCTCTTCTAGAGCCATCAATTAACTTAGTATCACCCGTTATAGTATTAACGCTTTCATCTCTTATTGTTAAATAAATAAAATAATTTTTATCTCGAAATATGATGTGTGTTGTAGTACTATCCACAAAACATATATTTTCATTCTTCTGTCTAATGAAAGAAAAGGGAACATCTATATTCTTCAACAAAAGAAAGATAATGTTTTAAAATAAATACTTAATAAAATAGAATTTATTCAGAGCAATAATGCTTTTATTATAAGAAAACAAGAAAGCTAAGTGAAACATAATCCAAATTAATCTAATTATTTTTCAACTAAACTTGTTTAATCCTAATTTTTAAATAAATCAGCCATCTCTAGGTATGCCATAGCACTAAGGCCATTAATATCACTCAACTTATTGATATCATCATTTTTGTATGCAAAATTTGCCTCAACATTATCATTTTGAAAAGTGACGATTATACATTTTTTAATGACAAGTACATGACCAATACCCCTTTACACCACACCGATAGCACTGATTTTTAATAGTTGTTGAAGGATCACTCTTATCTCTTTTTTACCTTTCATTATTTTTCTTCTTTTGATAGGTATTAGGATCATAATTAGTACCACCACCATCATGATAATAATAATTATCACTCCCCTGCCACGGCTGCAATCGCAACCATAGTAATTACTACATATAGTCATATTCGCTTTAGGGAATGGAGCTGTTCGAGTGAGACAAATTTTATAATTTCTCATCAACATTTTATTATTTTGTTCAACCACAAGAAGACATGAAATTAATTTAAAATATTTTTTAAAACTTTTTTCACAATATTGTTGTTGTAGGAGTACATTTGAAGCATGAAAAGTTGAAAATGTCTTCTCTAATAAGTCCTTATCATTTATTTTCTCACAACATAATTTCAATAGAAAACTTATTTCAAAAACTACTGAATTATTTTTACTCACAGTTTTAAAATTTTACAACTTCAAATGCATCCATTCATATTGATCTTTAGGTAAAATTATCATTTTTTTGGTGGTTATGCCTTTCTTTTAAGTTAATCCACAATTCTAGTGGATCCTTTACTCTAAAGTACTCGACTTTTAGCCCTTTATGAAGATGCCGACGAAAGAATATCATTACCTTGACCTTATCTTGATTATTTGCTTGATTTTCAAGTAAAATTGTAGTTCTTAAACCTTTGGCATCTGGGTGAATTTTAGCATCTAGCACACATGACAGATAATACTGTCCTATAATATCAAGAGCCGTAAATTTAAGTTTGGTAAGATTTGTCATGATTCAAACTAAAAAAATAATAACAATTAGAATTGTGATAAAATTAATAAATAAATCATAATAAATAAATATTATAGTAAAAAAATCATTCACACACACATGCTAAAATGATAAATAACCATAAATAGATTATGAAATATAATTTATAATAAAACACGATATAAATGGGCACAATATAAAGAAACACAAGTACAAATAACCAAACTTACTAAACAAATAAAGCATGATAAAGATAAAAAATAAAATAAAGCAAACAAATTGATGGATAAAGCAAACAATTTATATAATATTAACAAATAAAAAAAATTATATTAACAACACAAATTGATCAACACACACAAACAAATACAAAATGTATAATATGTATATATAGTATTAATTTAATAGAGGACTAAAATAATAATAAATAAAGAAATAATAAAGCAATGAATGATGATGATGATGATGATGATAAAAGATGACATCAAATGCATAAATATTAAGAAAGAAAAGTGAGTATGTCAATCTTCATAAAAATATAGAATAACAAATAATAAAAATAAAGCAATGAATGGTTAATGACACTTGATTAAATTGAATCACTAATCACATGAATATTTTTAAATGAACAAAATGGAGAAATGTAAAATTATTTTGTAACTAAAAGAAGGAAAGGATAAAAAAAATAAAACAATAAATATATAAACAATATAACCATAAATGTTAATAGAACAATAATATAAAATATAATTATATATATATATATATATATAATATAAGAATATATCAATCTAGCTAAAATCTCATACTTGATTTTTAGAGTTAATTTGTACTGATAACATGTTATAAAAATAAGAAAAAATAGGGGAAGAAAAGAGAATAGTGAGGCAAGAAGAATTGAGTGAGAAATTAATGCAATATAGTTCATTTACTTGGGTTATTAATGCTTTATACATAGCCTTTATATATAACCTTTAACTCTTTAAGACTGACCTTAATATTAGAAATGAATAAAGAAGGAAATAATGGCATAGTATAAAACTGTTGGAAATTAGAAGCACTAATTTTGAGAAACTCCTTCTAAATCATTCATTGGGAGGTTATGGAAGATGAAGAATTCTAAGCATTAGAAATTATGGATATCCACTCATATAATTAGATAATATTTGTAATAAAACATGTGATATTATAAAAGTTTTATGTCGGGTATGTATTGATTTTTTTTAAATAAAATTTTCAGAAATAAGGGGACATTTGTTATTAGAGCAACACATGGAATTGCTGAAGATTTACATGCAACCAGATCACAATATATGTCTATATACATTGTATTGACCCTTGTGAGTTGTGACCATCTCGGCTCTGGAAGGGGAACCGTGAGAAGCCAGGGAAGATTAAAAAGAACGTAAACCACTTGGAGTTTCTCTCTAATCACTTTCCTGCGTCATCATTCCTTAATCTCCACCAGTGATGGACCCAAAAAAAAAAATCAATGAGGGTATAATATATACTGCAAATAAATAAATATTAATATGTTTATAAAATAAATAATTTTAAATATCTATTAAATTATATTAATGGTATAAGTTATTAATAAAATTAAATATTAAACAAATGCATAAAACAAAACATTACAATAATATAAAACACTCTCTTTTTATAAATATTTTTTATATCTATTAGAATCATGTTTTTAATTTTCATTAAATAAAACTGATATACCTCTTTGCACGGTAGAGAATTTTTTGTCATAAAATTTTTCATAAACAAATTTTTTCAAAATTTTTGCTTTTCTATTTAAAATTATTGCTATTTAAGTTTATACTACACACACATACAATTTTAGATAATGAAATAAGTAAACTTTTAAAAGAGGATAAGCACATGCAGTTTTAACTGCTCTTTTTTTTTTTGTGCTTTCATTTAAGCGACAAATTTTACTGAATATTTTCCTTCTGTTTTTCTTTAATAGCCAGACCGAGGGATAGTCGCATCTTTCTTTCCAGCATAGAGAGAGGGAGGGAGAGAGGGAGGAGATATATAACTTTCTTCCCACTCTTGGGCCGGTGCGCATGAAAATCTCTAGTTATTCTTTGGATGATTATGGAATTTGGGACCCATCCCATGTCATTTGAAGGCCTATAAAATGTAAAACTTAAACCAAAACAAAAACAAATGTTGAATCAATGAAACACGCCAAACCCTTTCAGTGTTTCAGCGAAACGTCAGGCTTGTTTGGTTTAAAAGAAAAATAAATTGCTGGCTTTGTGTTGTGGTTGAGCCTAGAAGGTGGAATAACTCGACCTTGCAAACTAACAATTAAAATATTTGATATTAATGGCTTTGTAAACCATTAGCATGAAAGCACATCTATGAGTAAAAAGTCATTGGTTGGGTCCATTTTATAACGATGGGTTATTAGTGCTCGTCCTTTCAGATGAATAAAAATACGGATCCAGATTCTTTAGTAGTGATGATAATAAGAATGAAAAGGAAAGGACAACAAACAGTTCCTAGAGAGTTGAAGCATCTAGTGACGACATCTGACGGAGCAGTCTACTTTGGCTATAACCCATTATTTAAGCACACCACATCTGATTCTGTTGGTCGACATTATGTTATATTCTCCTCGCATCAATAAATTTCTTCTTCGCTCAATCATCTAACAATTCCATTTCAGCCACCTGAAGCTGAACCCTTAATATTTCTTCCACGTGGATGCTCCGTGGATAAACAAGGCAGCAAAGCATCATGCATATCCAAACAAAACCGCAGCAACAAACCAGGCCGCTCCGCCCCTTGTTTCACAGTCCATCAATAATTAAATACTGCTCTCCCTGCCTCCGCATTGACTACATTATATCGTTTATCGTTTCTCTCTTTCCTTACTTTTTTTTTTTCCTGAATAACATCCATGTTCCACTCATGAACTTTCTAGTCTTAGAGGTCACAATTTCGGCTGTTGGTTTTGTTTATTTACCAATAATATTCGATTCAGTGAAGACAGACGGAAAGGAAAAGGTAAAAGTTGGATTTGTTCCTATCCTTTCATGAATTTTACTCAAACACATGATGTAAGCTGGGAAGTGCCTTTCTTACCAACCGTGTTACGCTAACCACCAAGCCCATGGACTCCACCCGTGTCTTTGTCTCTCATCAATATCCTCCCCTGCTCCCAAGCCCAAAAATGGAGGGAACAGGGGCATGAAAGAATCCATCAGCACAAGTGAATCTGATAAACTAATTATAATAGCGTCTATATAACATGGGCAATCCTTACTGTAAACCTCTGGCCGGACACCCAATATCAGGGAGGCTTGATCGTCTCCTTGACCAGAGTGAAAAGAAAAGATCGCAACTAGAAGAACAAAAGAAAAAGAAGAGGGAATGAGCAGAACAGAGCATGAAGATGTCAATATCTAATTAGGTAACGGTCAAAACTCATGGAATGGAATCCATGCATGTACGGTCTAGTGACCCTCGAGAGGTCTTCCTTCTTCTTAATCTTCAAAACCAACTTTCTTCCAGACAGCATTTCTAACGCTGCACAAGTCTCTGCCTTTGAGAGTTCTCCCAATCCCTTCTTGTACTGAGAAGGAAGCCCCTCTGGTCCTGGCTAGATACTCGTGGGGTGGTATTCTGATCTCTCCGTGCTCATCACCTTCATCCTCATCCACTGCACTCCCCCTCTTGCGATGGCCCTTCAAAATATTGGACCAGTTAGGTATGTTGACAGGCAATGAGCCTGACGTTTCCAACGAACTCCGTCTTCCACCTGTATCAACATCCCGACTGGCCTCTTTTATAGAGTTGGCGTTGCTTGACAAGTTCCATAACTCAGCTTCGTCGAATTTCGAAACGCCCTCTGTGGAGTCTGGGTGGAAATGGGCGTGCGAGGCGGTTGCAAATGTAAAACTTGGTTTCACCAGGAAGCCCTTCCTTGAGGCCATTTGATCAGCAGCTCTGAAATTGATATAGGCTGCCGTCTCGCTCTCTCTCTCTCACTCTGTTTTTTCTCTTCTTCCCTCTTGGGTTGGCTTATGTTTCCATTTTGCAATTCTGTAATGCTTAGCGTGGGAATGGATAAAGCTAGGAGCCCAGCTCCGTAGGGAGCATTTACTTATAATATTGATTATAATATTTTATGTCGATGTTGTCAGTATTGATAATAGTGGGACGATGTAGCAATGACGCCCTCGTGCTATCACCATCACCCGTGAGGAGATAAGAGGTTAGTTCGCTGCATTGATCGCAGGCCTTCGTTTTTTTTTTTTTGGGTTTGGTGTGTCAACTACTCTCAGGGTTCTTTGAAATTAATAAACAACTAAATTATGAAAACAATTACTTTTTTTTTGGCTAATAATTTAAGAAAACATGTTATTCATGTCATTCTCGCTCTCCTTGTCCTAATTTGAGAAAGCGAAACATTTTATTTATTTTAATATCTAAAGAGAGATTCATCTGTTGATAGTTGATGCATAAAGCAATTTAATTGTATGAGTTTGAACCTTCACCTCTATCCATATCCCATTCCCACCCCACGCTTGTTCTACGAGCAAGCCTTCATCGACAAGGAATCATTTAAAATGAAGAATGCATAAATTTCATGAAGTTTGGGTTTTTAAAAAAATATAGAAAATTTTATGTTTTATAAAAAAATAAAAAAAAAAAACTTAACAGAAATTAATGAATATTAACTTTAGAGGATTTGATCCTCTATTTATTAAGCTTCGATAAAAGTTTTCCATAACTGAAGTTAATTTAAAATTTTTTCCACCAACAAAGTAGCTACTCCATAAATTCGCGCCTCAACAATGTTAACGCATGTTTTCATGCTCTCCCTTTTATCTTTCCCTATTTTTTTTGGGTAAAAACTAAGGGCAGGAATAGGCTTTAGGCTACGCTCTCACTTACTTTAACCTCAACTTAATTTATTTATTAAATAAACTCAAATTTTTAATTAAATTTATTTAGTTAAATAAGTGAGGCTTAATTTTTTAAAGTTTAGCCTACGAGTCCAATAAAATAACCTGCCTATATATATATATATTGAGTAACATATCACACACACATCAATTTTACCATTTAATTTTTACTCAATTTTTTTTATTTTTAATTATATTTTCAATTAGAGTGAACTTATATATTAATTTTAATATTATTATTTTATTATTGTATTTTATTGTAGTCGGTTAGTTCTTTTAATTATTATATATTATAATTGATAAATCAAGTTATATATTTATGCTAATAATATTAAAGTATATTTGAGATATTAACATGTGAGTTTATTTAAAAAATTTACTTTTAAGTAAGCTTTTAAAAAAAATTCAAGTCAAGGCAGGTTTTATATAGGCTCAGGTTTGAGTTGTGAGAAGGACATTATATAAACTTTAGACTGGACCTAGGTTTCTAACTTATTATACAGGTTCAGGTTTATTTAGTTAAAGTTTAATCCAACCTAACCTATTTTTATCTTTAGTAAAATCTGTTTCTGTGTTTTTTTTCCCCCTACAATGAAAATTGCGGCTAGCACCGCAACTTGAAGAAGGGCTTGGACCTTGGGCCAAAAAAGAAGGGTTTCCACCTTCAGCCGAATCATTGGTCCTCTAAACAAAAAGCCCACTATGCTAGAACCAGTCCAAGGATATTTTATTCGTCATCTCAAGTCTGCAGAAAGAACCCTCTTTTATATTGCAAAACTTGCTAGTGAGGTTCTTTTCTTCTGCCTAAACCGCACTGCACCTGCAAACCCCTAAGTTCATCCAAAACCGCTGTCGACTTCGCTGCCGCCACTGAAATGCCTCCGAAGTTCGATCCTTCCCAGGTCGTGGACGTTTATGTCCGAGTTACAGGCGGCGAGGTTGGTGCGGCGAGTTCACTGGCTCCGAAGATCGGTCCGCTTGGTCTTTCTCCCAAGAAGATCGGTGAAGACATAGCCAAGGAGACCGCGAAAGACTGGAAGGGTCTCCGAGTCACAGTAAAGCTAACCGTTCAGAACCGTCAAGCCAAGGTGTCGGTGGTGCCGTCCGCCGCTGCTCTGGTTATTAAGGCCCTGAAGGAGCCCGAAAGGGACCGTAAGAAAACAAAGAACATCAAGCACAACGGCAACATCTCACTCGACGACGTCATCGAGATTGCCAACATCATGCGGCCCAGGTCCATGGCCAAGGATTTGAGTGGAACCGTTAAGGAGATTCTTGGAACCTGCGTTTCTGTTGGATGTACTGTGGACGGCAAGGACCCTAAGGATCTGCAGCAGGAGATAACCGATGGGGACGTTGAAATCCCTCTCGATTGATCAAATTCCAGTAATTTCGCGTTTGCTTATGCTTTTTGGGCACTTGGATTCCTTTTCTGAATAGAATTTTTCACTTTTTTCTTAATAGATTCCCGGATTTTTTTTCTGTTTCTCGGTCATCCTCTTTTCAGGGATAAAAGAGGAAAAAGAGAGGCCATGCTGCTGAATGATAGGATGTAACATTTTAGCATCAAAAGCTTAATCTTAATCTCTGGTGTTGGTTCCGGCTCTCACTGGGACCAGCCATGTCTCCACATTCAGAAAGCGACCAACAGGGTTCTGGGTCAAATTCTTTACGAACTAGGTTGTTTTTGGTTACCAGTTGTCCATATCATTTTTCTCATTGCCGTCCTAGAGGCTAGAACGGAATGTGCGGTATTCGCCAAATTTGGCCTTGCATCAGGATTCCCCATTTTTTCTTTCTATTTTTCGTAGTAAAAAACAAAAATGTGATCGGTACTATAGTCATATCGTGTTGATGGTTCAAAATTGTCATAGACCCGCACTGACACCCACAAGAACCGTTAATTTGGATGAGAGACTCTATCTTCTCTGTGATCACAGCACTATTAGTTTAAGGTATGAACGAAACAATTGTATGTGTTGATGTTGACAGAAAGAAATAACGAAAGCAAACATAATAGAATAAATGAATTTATGTTATGTCAGAATGTTTTACTAATGTACTAATCAAACCTGGCATTAACCATGCTTTAAATAAGATATGGAATGAGGAACATAGGTAAAAAAACAATTGCAGGCGAATCCCTGATTTAGTTTTGATCATAAGGAATTGGGGAATTGCAACTGGTTAAATAATAAAGGGGTGTGTGTGTGTGTGTTTTTTTTTTTTTAAAAAAGGTTGCCTAACGTTTTGTACATAATTAATACAAGTTTTGTAAACATTTGTTTATATCATAAAAATAATACATTTTTAAGGGACATGAATTTTTGAAAGTTTTAACTGTTTATTGGAAATGATAAAATGAATATAAATGATAATGTCAATATGAAAAATGAAAACATTGTTAAAACGTGTTTAATGCAACATTTATCTAGTAGCCAATTTCTAACTTATTTTATTTCATCTATAACGCTGTATACTTAATTAGAAAAGGGAATTAAATTAATAGAATGTTAACCCTCCAATAAGTTTAATTAAACCTTTTATGGCATCTAATGTTTATTAATGGCTGATAGGAAAGAAATAGACTTGTCTTCGAAAAGGAAGTGTGACGTCAGTTTACTTACCTTACCAAGATAGCATTTTCATAGTCTGCAAGAAGTGGAAAACGTTTTTGCGGTGATTGTCTTTGCTTTACCCTTTAAATGGGGTATTAAAAAATGATGTATTCTTTTTCTTTTACTATATTTTTGTCTCACAAGTTTTTACTTGATGGAAGTTTTTTCAAGAATGGAAGAAGCGTTATAAATATAAACATTATGTTTGAATCTCCACCTCTCCATGTCATAATTAAATGAACGTTCATTTCCCTATATTACTTCACATTCTTTTCAAAAGGTTGCAACTCATGAAATTCTTAAATTTCATCTCTTGATATAGAATTAATATCTTTTTTATGATAAATTATTTTACAATCAATTGTTAAGACCTTAAAGTTATAAGTGTTTGTGTATATGTATGGCATCTCAGTTATATTATACGTGTGAACAAGAAAACAAGAGAAATTATTTTCATTGTTATTGCCTATATTCTTTCTTCTTCTCTTCATTTCTATTACTTTTAAGTTGTAAGTACTTGTCTTTATAAATAATATTACTTACTTAGGTGACGAGAGCCTCTACACTCACACTAATTTTAGTTAGTAATTCATGGTGAAGATTTTTGTTGCAATCTTTCTAGAACCCATGGCATTTAAAATGTTAAATCTTTGTGGAAGCACTTGGTCTAGTGTCAAAATTTGGAAGGTGCAAGGTGATGAGAATGGATACACTTTCAAGTCCAAGCTTAGAATTAAGTTATCTGACCACATGTTATTGCCGACAATGTCACAATAAAAAAATATATTTAGATTTTTTATGTATTTTGCACTTGAAATTTTTTCCAATGCAATGTAATAATTGTTCAGCGCACTCTCTATGATGGCGTTGCTGATGATACACACAAGAGGTATAAAAGACGAAACATTGCAACAAAAGTTATGCTGATACAGCTTTGCAGGATTCTTCAAAACAAAGGTAATGTGTTCATGTTGTTCAGGTTAAATAAATAGAGGAAGCAGAACATCCGTGCTTGCATGTGGGGGGACTGCTGCAACTATAGTAGCTTTACGAAACATTCTGGCCTATTCAATTTCAGCACCTGTGTTAAAAGAATGTAAACCAGACTGTTTCAAGTGAAGAGATTTAATATTGAAAGGATGAAATATATATATATATATATATATATATTATAAAAGTGTGAAAGATATATCAATAGATCTAATAGAGAGAGAAATACAAAGAGGAGAGGACAAACAGGAAATAAATCAAGAAAGCCATCATTGGCATTTGTGAATAGTAGTTAGTATGGCATTATCACATATAATTAGTATTTGATAAATGTATAAAAAGTAAATGAGCATAACGATGGAATCATATATAGATTCCCGATGCAATAACTCATTTTGCAAAGCACAATTTCAAGTCAAGATTTAACTTCCTGCAACTTTTAATTTTAATAATTAATAATAATAATTCTCTCATTTTCCATTATCCACTTGCCCTTGTTGAGATTGATCCCAATATATGATCTATCTAAACTTGAGGACCGCTTTTCCTTTGATCGATTCAAAGTCATTGATGAAATCACAATCTTTGCTTTTGCATTATATCGCAAGGCAAAATGCTTTCTTAATATAAAATTACCTGCATAGAGTTAGTTACATGAAAAGTTGGTCTGAACCACTTTCAACCCTCTCCTTAATGAATCATGCATGTATACTAGAAAATCATTGCACTCATCAAATCCCCCATATTCAATTTATCCGAAATCCTCTTCCACATTCATAGTCTAATGGTCGCCATTTACAGATAACTTCCACACACATTTCAATGAATCTGAAATACAACAATAACAAAGTAGGAAACATGTTGTCTAGTGTATGGACATGTTATCTGACTTATCCCTTAAGTATTTTTTTTTTTTGGCACAAACTTGAAACATAGCTTTCCCTCAAATTTTAGTATTACAAACTATCATCTTAAAAGATGAATATGTGGCATCCCCCCGTGTCTTTTCCAAGTTTATAATGTATGCAAATTTGTGCTAAATGCAAAGCTGCTATTTGAATAGAGGTGGATCAGACAACACATTTTCTAACAGATCAACTATTCCTATCGAAATATTATTATTATTACTAAATTTATACCTAGACATAACGATTGTCTGAAACAAATTATTAAAAAAAAAATTAAAAACTAAGTAGTATGTATTGACCTCTGTTGTGTTCAAAATTGCTCAGACTTTTCTTCTTTGCTGCTTTCTTCTTATTTTTAACTACTCTGACGCTGCTTGGAAAAAGTTTACTAGTGTTGTTTATAGGAGGGAATAGAAACATATATTTCCAAACAATTATCTGACAGGAAAAACATAATATAAATTGCATTGAAATTTAAATAGCAAATAGTTAGAATTGTCGACATGAAAAAATTCAAATTGGGTCCAACTATGGTAGACAGCTGAAGGAAACATCTCCAATAATTAAACATAAGACTTAAAGATGGAAAAAATGAAAGATGATAGATTGACAGTTCATGAACTTCATGCAATACAGCTCCTCTGGTATGAAGATGGCTCTGCAAGATCAAGTGATCAACCATTAGATGCCTTCGCTTCAACGTCTTCTTAAAGTCGACTAGACCAGGCTCCACATCAAACAACACTTCAATTTCATTGAAGCAGTTCATGATAACCTTATCGTCTAAGATCATATATAAAGAATATAGTGAGATAAGTAATAATATAAGGAAACATATTCTCATTCAAACCATATAAAGGAACTAGAGGAAAGAATGAAATAAAATGAAAATATAAAAGATGTAATTTAGCTCATGAGATTAGAAATTGTGATTCATGAAATTTTTAGATGGTATGATAATTCTCACATTTATAAAATCTATTAGTGATGCTTATGATGAGCAAGAAGGGTGATTTAGTTTATTTTTATCTTCAATTTTTTACTTCATGCCACTCCATTCTTTTTTAATAATCAAACAGTACTTTATTTTTGCTGGATGTTGGAAAGAGGTTGCCAATCCAGAGCAAAAAACCAAGCAAGTTAAAATGAACTTCTAGTCCCATTGGAACTATTGATATTAAAATATTAATATCGATAAGTAGAAAAAATATGCTTTAAAGTTTTTAAAAATGAGAAGATTGATAAAAATTAAATTAATTTGAGAGTTAATTCATGTCTTAAAATTTAAAGGAATAATATGATAATTTAAGAAAATAGTATAAGATATTATATTGACAAAAACATCTCAAAAATAATGAGGAATTAATGAAGCTAAGAGATAGAAAAGGTAAAAATAAGCAATAAAAATGCCTTTAATTAGCCAAAAAGAAGTGGCGTTTTATTTAGTGTATGTTTAATTTTCAGTTTACTAAAAGTTTTTTTACTAAAAATTTATTTGATAAAAATCAGTTAAGTGAAAGTTAATTGCTATAACGAAACTAGTATTTGGATATATATTTTTTAAAAGTTAGTTTGGTAAACTAAAATTTTTTTAGATTAATGATTATTTTTACTTTTAAAATGTACTTTTAAATACGTAATGATCAAAAAAGATATTGATTCATGATAATTGATAGTTTTTGTTATATAAATATAATATATTATAAATGTTTACAAAATGGAAAAAAATAAAATTACATAAAATTTAATATTTTAAATAATAAGAATAAAAATATATAGTTTAATACTAGAAAAAAATTAAGAATAATAAAGGTATTATGGTCATCTATAAAAGTAAGTACAACTCAACTCTCATTTATAATATCAAATTCAATAAAAAATAAAGTTGGCAAATTTACATTTTAACCGTATCTCGATATACATTTATACATAATAAGAACATGTTTGGTTATTTATATATGTAATTTGTCGAAAAATTACTTGTAATTTTTTTATATAAAAATCAAGGATAGCATAACCATATTAAAAATTAATAGATAACATTTGAAAAGCACATCTCAAAAGTTAAAAAAAATTTGGTTGGACAAATTCATATTCAATAATTTTTTAAAACATATTCATAAAAATACTTTTATCATATTTTTTGTATTTAAATAATTTTAACTTTCAAAAAGTACGGAAAGCACTTTTTAAATGTTAAAAATTAGGTTCCAAACGGATCCTTAGCCGACGAGTGCCGCAATGCCTTCTCTCGTCAAACCACTGTCGGTCACTTCTCCGACCCCAATTCTTACATCCTCCAGTCCATTGCCATTTTTCACCTTCACCCTTTTTTTTTTTTTTGCCATCTAAAGTACAAACAGCAAACCCGCCACCACTCCGCTTTTTTACACCAGTGGTGATGGCCACTTTTGTTTGTTTTGAATTACAAAATTTGGGCTTTCTTTTGCGCCTATTCCAAGTAAATCAAACTTGATTATTTAAATCCTTTTATATGTTTTTAATAAAAACTTCCTCAAACCAACATGTAGTTATCCGAACAATTAGGGACTTGAATAATTAACCTTAAGTTTTATGTTTGAATCTCAAAATATGCAGCCGCACAGGCTAGGGTACCTGTGATGAGGGCTTTAGTCTTAAAATAACCCATGTCATTGGTGGTGTGTATTTTTATACTTTTTTAATTTAATTTTATATTGAATATTGAATATTAATGTTAATAATTAGCATTGGTCCTATTTATTATGTGAAATCTGAAAAAAATGACTATATCTAAAACAGTAATTACTCATTATCAGTGTGAGTTGTTATGATTTTTATATTTTGAATTTATCAGGATAAAAATAATATTCATTTTTTTTTGAATTTATCAGGATAAAAATATATTTTCCATCTGTTTAAAGCAACCTCCAGAGTCCAGAGCAGTCTATGGGTCCGTTTGAATTTCAATTGAGTATAATAATTATAAAAATAATTGATTAAGTGATAGATTTTAATCATAATTGATTATGTTATAACGCAATTTGTTTGGATATTATTTTTTTAGAATTGATTTTTAACTTAATATATGTTAGCAACTTTTTTAAAGATTTAAAATTTAAATTTTACTAAGAAAAAAAAAAGAGAAGAGAAGGGAGTTTGATTTTTTTTATAAAATTTTGTATTTTTTTATAATTTTTTGAATTTTTTTATATAATTTCTTCAATATTTTTTATCAGCGTTTTTGGAAAAGCTCAAAACATTAGCTTTTGAAAAAAATTAATTTTAAAGGTTAAAATTAATTTTTTATTTTTTAGGTATTTGGCTAAGAAATCAAATAATCAATTTTTTTGAGAATAAAATCGATTAAAGACGTATAAACGGGCACTATTTCTTGAGTTGAAACGGAAAATAGATCAGTAAGGTGGTGGCCCAGTTCTTGATAGACAGTAGTCGGCGAGTTTCCTTCCTCGATCTATCTGTCGTCTACTTCGTCTGAATCCAGTGACTAGCCAAACCACCACAGGTAATTCGGATCTCTCGATTCTGTATTTCTCTGACTTCTTTGGACCTCCTACCTTCCCCATTATTTTTAAGATCTGAGATTTCTACGGGTTTGTAACTGTCATTGGATTTTATGTTGTTTCTTCCAGATTTGCGTAAATTTCGATCTTCTATGCTTTTATCTGATAAATAAGTTTGTGATTTAGTTGTTTATTGACCTCCTTTTGCTCTCTGTGTGGCATGTCGGAGATTTGTTGAATTGTACCGAAAGCGATTTGGGATCCCTCCTTTCCATCATTTTTTCGTCCCTACTGTTGTTATCTTAGAATAAAACTCATCTAGCATATTTTTACGACTCGTAGAGAGGCTTATCCTTTATTAGATTAGGAGTCAGAATTGGATATTTTTTGTTGAATCAGCGTGATTTGACTCACTTCTCTCGATTTTGGTTTCTGGGCTATTATTGAGAATTACGCAGGTTTTGCATACGGCTTGTGGTCAAAAATTGAGATAAAGAAAACATCAAGTCCAGAAACTTGTAGAATCTTAAATAACATGCTATGACCGGGAACCTTCATGTTACAGTACTAGAAGTTATACTCAGTTTTTCTCTTTGATTTTTAGAATTTTAGTGCCATCATCTAAATGCACATTCTTCCTATGTATTATCAGATTTGTCTGATTGTTATGAATGGTATTGCTGCTTATTGGCGTATAAATAATCTGGTTGAATGAAAGCTGAACCGGCCACATATTGATCTGATCCTTTATCTTTTGTTTTTTATTTTTTTGTTCCTGTTGCATCAAGGCTCTGCCTCTTTTAGCTGTTAAACTTCTATTTTGCCTTTAGCACTTAACTGGGAGTTGTCTACTTATCTTTTCAGTGTTGGGGTTAACTCCATTTTTTTCTCTACCGGAAAATAATCTTTGTCAGTTATTGCTATTGGATAGTCCTACTTTCAGGCTCTCAATATATCCCTTCATTTGACTCCAACCATCCTTTCTCTCGGTCTCTTTTCTATGGATCATGGAGAATCTTTTGAAGCCACGCTTTTGCTGGTGGAAGTTATTTGTTTCCCAGTATTTTCATAAAGTGTCTTGTGTTCCTAGAGCCTACTCTTGCTTTTGGAGGGAGAAGAGTGCAAAATCGGTGGTAGTAGTTGCGTTTAATGCCTTGCTGTTGAAAATTATAGTTGTATGGTTTTAGATTCCTGGCTTGTTTTATTTCCAGGTGTCAATCAATGGAAGAGTTGGCAAAAGATTACAATTATGCGTCTATTGCATGGCCTTGCTTTATGGTTTCTTTCTATTAGTTTCATTAATCCATATTTTAATGGTTAAAGAATCTTTCAATTGCAGAATGGCATCCAATAGGGGTCAGGGTGGAATTCAGCAGCTGTTGGCTGCAGAACAAGAAGCTCAACGGATCGTAAATGCTGCCAGAAACGGTTCTCTCTCTCTCTCTCTCTCCCCCTCTCTGAATTTATTGTTGTTATTACCTTGACAATGTAAATGTTTCTTGATCCATGCATCTATTTTGATCAAATTTTATATGTCTGGCCATGTGACGAACTGATGATGCATATGAATGTGTTTTTTATACTTTATTCTATATTCGATGTTTTTTCCATTGAGATAAAATAAGTTCCCGGATCAAAATTATTGCTGCTATATATTAGTCTATCCCTTTCCCCCACTTTTTTTTTTTTACCCCGTATTACTCCTTTAATTTGTCTGAACTTAATTTGCTTGTTCAATAGCTAATTTGATGTTTTTGATTTTTACAATTAGAAAAAATGGCAAGGCTGAAACAAGCCAAAGAAGAGGCTGAAAAAGAAATTGCTGAATATCGAGCTCAGGTGGAGTATGAATTCCAAAAGAAATTGGCAGAGGTATGTTTATGATTATTGTGGCCTCATTAGACTATTTGGTGGTCATCTTATGAATTATGAAATTATGAACCAACTTTCGTGCAACCTCTCCGATGGATACAGAGTAGTGGAGATTCCGGTGCTAATGTGAAGCGGCTTGAGGTGGAGACTGAAGCTAAGATCCAGCACCTTAAAACAGAAGCATCAAGAATATCAGAAGATGTTGTCGCCATGCTCCTCAAGCATGTGACAAGTGTGAAAAATTAGAGCCTTTGATGATATATTGGAGCAGAGAACTACTGAATAATGTTACTTCTGGTCGTGAGTTTATGTTTTTCTTGCACTGATTGGTACGAATAAGGTTCTTGTTTTGGTTATTTGGTGCCCTGCTGCTGCATTTCGGATATTTATCTAGACAGTTCAGAAAACAGAGGTATGCCTATTTGTATCAGTGTTAGAAGATCATTTTGCTATGGTCAAATACGTACGGGAAGCAGGTTTATTCTTTTGTAAACATACCGACACTAATTTTATTCTGCTCTTTCAAGTGTTGCGTCTGTCTTTTTGCATATCTAAACCGGAATTCTCCCGCGTCGATGCAGTCTAATATTTTGTTACAGTTAATATGGTGGTAAAACTTTCCTGCACAACAAATTCTGCTTGGTATCATGAGGAGTTAATATCAGAATACTTAAAAGTCCTTCCTCTATCTCTGATTAATCTGGATAGGCCGTACTTGTGATTATACTCTGCAAAGACGAGATAAAAATGTCTGAGTATGGAGTTGCTGAAGTTACGGCCACCCGGAAGATAAGATTAGCTATGGAAAGTAAAGCTCCCTAAGAAATTGATCTTTGTTTGAAAAGATATTCAAGAGGCCAGTCCTACTCCCCAGGAACCATCATCAAGTCAATTATGATTGTGCTCTGCAGTTCAGTATCGGATGCTACGGACCACATTTTCCTGTCAGGACTTGTTGACGCTGTTTTGTTTGAATCATCGTTCATCTCTCAATACATTTGAACGTGCTACGTCAAGAATAATGGTGAATTGGTAATGACATTGGCTCGCCAATTCAAAGATCACTTAGAAGGTAGGGAAAAAATAACGAGGATTTTTATTTCACTAATATCGGCTATAATATGAGAGACTTGCCCTCTTTTTTTATTTGGGAAAACACACAATAGGTCCATGTACTTTAATTGTGTTTTGCTTTTAGTTCATATAATTTTATTTCATTATCTTCAGTTTCTTTAATTTTATCAATTTGTAATATTAGTTCCTATAATTTTAAAAATACATAGAAAGACTATGAGATAACATTGACAGAGGTAATTTCAGTTAAACTCTGATAATTTTTTTATTGACATGGTAAAAATATGCTGATGACATGAAAATAAAATGATTAGGTATGATAAAAAATAAAAGGTAAATGAGAAAAAATATTTCTATTATATTTACTTTAAACATAATGTGAATAGATTAACAAAGTTAAATACATGTTAGCAAGATTATTTTTGTTGGTGCCAGTTTATGATCTTTATGTGCATTCTTGAAATTATAGGGACTAATATTGAAGAATGATCAAACTAAAGGACAGAGAACAACAAAATAAAGTTAGAGAGAAAAAAAAAAAAAAACAAAGCGCAATCAAAATACAATGATTTATTGTTATATTTCCCCTTATCTCTCTCCTAATTTGGCATTCCTTAATTCATAGAGTCCGGTTTACTCTGAATGGGTGATGGACCGTCCAGACCTGTTTGATTGGGAATTGGGTTCAAGTTTGTTAGAAAATATGGAGAGAGAAAAATGAGTGTGATTGGGTAATTGCTGGCAATTTACTGCATTTGCCAGGGACTCCTCTGACCTTTGACTTGATATTTTTAGATTTTGTTACGAAAACTGTGTGATTTTTTTAAATTGATAGCATATGCAAGATTCTCTTTTCCATTTTATTGTAAATAAAATACAAAGTATATCACAATGAATATTTTAGAAGATTAAAGCTTCAAATAAGTTAGGCCATGTGACAAGGACACGTCCATCACAGGTGGGTCTTATGATTAAAAATCTGGCCATGTGGATTACTCGGTGAATGTTGAATCGGAGAAGCAACTTTCAACATCCAAATTCTCAAACACCAATCAAATGCATGTAATTGACAAGTATTGGTACGGTTCTTCCTGCCTTTTACTCATCCTCATTCCAATTCAGGACCTCTACTTCCCTCTTTCTCTTTCATCAAATCTTTGTCTCTTTATAAGGGGGCCCCATCAGTTCATAGTCCTTCCATTTCAATCCGCTGTTTTACTGAACCCAGATCTCTTTTACTAAAATTTTGTCGAAATAAAAAAAAAATCACACATTTATCTCGCATTATATGAAATTTGTAGGATGAATTGCAATTTTTGCCATTTATAAATAATGTGTTTCCTTTTACTGATTACTTAGACCGCATAATTATGTCACGTAATTGAATTGTGAAGTACACTCATTTGTTACCTCCATCATGTGATATGATGTACATCGTTTCTGCAATTTTGAGGATCAATAAGTATATCAAAAAGGAAAAAAATCCCACAAAACTTTGATGTCTGTATCATGCAAAGCACAGTGCCAACAACGGCCAGAAAGAGGTGGGTGCAAGCAGGAACAGACCATCACATTTATTCTTGAATACCAAATGCGCACACACGCCCATGTTTTTTTTTTAAAAAAATGAAAGCTATGTAATGAATGTGGTTGCTGATCAAGATCAAGGTAATAAAATTGTCCTGCACCTTAGTGGGCGGACACAAATCTTGCATTGCACGGTACAGTGCTCCAAACAGAAAAACCGTCTCCTTCGTTTTAATTTTTATAGTTAAAATGTCTGATGTTGCATGTCTCGCCTCCTGCCCAGCACCTGATTTGGTCTGCTGTGTCACCCTCAAATATTATCAGTATTTGACCTCAAACCCTATTACATCTGGTACATACACGCGCGCCAAACCTCTGACTCATCATCCACGTGACAACCCCATCACTGTTTTAGAACTTCTAGGTCAGTCCCACAACTTGCATCGCCCACCCACATTTCATCTTACCCCCCATGATCTGAAAGAATAGATTTTACGAGCTGATCAGGTTAGATTTGGGTGAACATCCAGAAGTGAAGTCGTATTTATGATAGAAAGTTGCAAATAATTATTGAGTTAGGATGAATGAAATGTTTGAGTTGAATTTTATAAGAGATATAGAGGGGGATCCTCATTGAAGGCACCACTTGGGATAAAATAAATTGTGATATGCTTTTGAAAGTTGGCTGTCCTGTTCTGTTCTTAGTGGACACTCCCACTCTCCCCACGCCACTTTCTTCGCTTTCTTACTGCTTCATGGGCCCACCTTCCCGCGTCGGAACAAAATCTCTTCTCATTTCAGTGCACGAACATGCTTCTGTTCCTATTCATTCTGCCAAAACCACGCATCTTTTAAAAGATTTCGCTGCGGCAAGTTTTAGGTTTTTTTTTTAATAAAAAAATCTAATAACAAAAATTTCACCCCCTGAACGGTTGAAATCTTCATGCAGCCATCATATTTTATAGTTTCTGAGCAGGCCAATCCAGCTCCAGATCAATGGTTGGTTCCCCTATATTAATATTTGAAATCAATGTGGTGAAAAGCTCAAGGTGGGAACTTAATGATAAACCCAATTGGCATACTAGTGTAATAGTGGCAATTCGGTAAAGAAAGTTGACAGTGACAGTAACTCCTTATGTACTTTCAGGTTGTAACGTTACCGGCAAGATTGTCAAAATGGCGATCCGGACCACGTTCTATCATCCTCCCTATCATCACTCGCACAGCTCTGACTTCAGCAAACAACTATGTCACGACCCAGCGAGCTGTATCGCTCCCTTCCAAACCTATCCTCAACCCTCGGTCGGATCATGCAAGTCCTCTGTGCGCACAGCTTTCGAGGGATTTCTTCATCTGTCTTTCTTCAGCTTCTTCTCTTCCTGTGCTCGTCTTGCGCGCATGGGTTTGGGACGATGGGGCCAATATCGGCCTCGTTGGGTAAATATGAATTCTTCTGCGCCATCGATGCAAGTGGGAAGCAGGATGTTATTTGTTGGGGGAAGAACAATACTTCTGCAGCTCCGCCGTCTTCTCCGGCTTCAGCCTCTGTCACTGACAACCCTCCGATGGCAGCTTTATCCGGTGGCGAAGGGTTTATGTGTGGCATTCTAGCAAGCACTTCGCAAGCATACTGCTGGAGCGCCACAAAACCAGCAATAGATCTTGTGCCTCCTGCGTACCAATCCTATACTTATTCTCAAATAGCAGCGGGCAAGAATCATGTTTGTGCCATTAGGGGATCTTATTATTCTAATGAGGATGCCGGAAATGTTGATTGCTGGGAAATCGTGAGAACTGCGGACAACAGCTTAAAATGGAAACAGAGCGATTTGTATTACGATCAGTCAACTAGCAATCTCGCATTAGGCAAAGTTGTTGCGGGTGAGGGATTCTCTTGCGGAGCGGTCAGAGACGGAGGGCTTGTGTGCTGGGGACCTACATCCGCGAGCTTGGGTGTATCGAATGTGTCCGAGAACTTTGCGGTCTTAGTTTCGGGAAGGAGTTCAATTTGTGGGCTTTTGAACGTTTCCGGAGATTTGAAATGTTGGGGTGATGCAGATTCATTTGCTGATCCACCTGATGGGGTTGGATTAACCTCTCTGTCAGCCGGGGCTCGCCATTATTGTGGCATTCGAGCAGATAATCATTTAGTGGAGTGCTGGGGGAGTTTCAATTCGTCTGTGGTTCCAAAAGGTTCTGGATTCATGGCAATTGCTTCTTCAGATTATACAACTTGTGGCGTTAGAGAAGAAGATCTTCTGATTGACTGCTGGTTGGTGAACGCGTCCACGGCTGAGTTTGATCCTCCATTGGAATTATCAAGTCCGGGTCTCTGCAGTGCCAGTTCATGCAGCCAAGGTGAGTTTGCTTTCAATGTTAGTGTTCTGAATGAGCCAGGTTTAACAAGCCTCTGCGTTCGAAGAGATTTGAGGATCTGTTCCCCCTGTGGCACAAATTGTTCAGAAGGCTTTTTCTTGTCCAGTCCATGCACTGAGAATTCTGATAGAGTATGCGCTGCTTGTTCTCTTTGCCAAAATAGCTCATGCTGGGATGTTTGTCGACATGAGTCATCTCCAGATATTGTTCACAACAATAGTTGGCACCATTTGCGTCGATTACTGATCCTAATTGGGTCAGCCACTTTGGGATTCTTGTTAATCATGACTTGTGGGTGTATTCTTCCATGTTTGATCACCAAGAAAGAATCCAAATCTGGCACGGCCAAACCAGAGCAGCAAGTTGATCCTAATGTTGATCTTCACTCTTTTCCTTCAACAACTTCCTGTCCCGGGATGCCTCAGATTTTCCGACTCTCGGAGCTAAAGGACGCCACCAATGGGTTCAAGGAATTCAACGAGCTTGGTAGAGGAAGTTATGGTTTTGTATACAAAGCTGTGTTAGCAGATGGGAGGGTAGTTGCGGTAAAGAGGGCGAATGCCGCCACAATAATCCACACCAACAATCGCGACTTCGAAATGGAACTGGAAATCCTCTGCAAAATCCGTCACTGTAATATCGTGAACCTGATTGGTTACTGTGCAGAGATGGGAGAGAGGCTTCTTGTTTACGAGTATATGCCACACGGCACTCTTTATGATCACCTTCATGGTGGGCTTTCTCCTCTGAATTGGAGCCTCAGGCTGAAGATATCAATGCAAACTGCAAAAGGACTTGAGTATCTTCAAAAGGAACTAGCGCCACCGATTGTGCACAGGGATCTGAAGAGTTCGAACATTCTCTTGGATTCTGAGTGGGGAGCGAGAATTTCAGACTTTGGGCTCTCATATCCAGTGACAGAGATCAAAATGGGGACGTGCAGAGCGATGTTTACAACTTTGGGATGGTGTTGCTTGAGATTCTGAGTGGAAGAAAAGCTTATGACGGAGATTTTACGCCTCCCAATATAGTTGAGTGGGCAGTGCCTCTGATCAAACAGGGGAAGGCTGCTGCCATAATTGATCGCTCCGTCCCTCTTCCAAGGATCGTAGAGCCATTGCTGAAGCTTGCTGATATTGCAGAGCTTGCTGTGAGGTACAATCCGAGCGAGCGTCCGGGTATGTCAGATATAGCATCTTGGTTGGAGCAGATTGTGAAGGACGGTCTGATCTTATGATGATGGTCATTGTACTTTGAGAAGCTTCAATTTCATCCCCTCTTTGGATTCGGCGATTGAGTAACGATCTTCTGCAACCTGTAAATTATATTGAGTCTCTGTTTATATAATTATATTGCTTATGCTTCATGTATTTTTGGTCTTGTATCTCCAAATGAATCCTCGCCAAGTGAGGGACATAACACTGTTGCAGCATGAGATACATCTACATGATTGAATTATTCTTGCTTGCAGCTGTGAGTGTAGATGTTGATCTGAAGTTTTTCGGCCCTCGAGATCACGCTGGATCGTGTCTTATTAAAGTCATTTTCATGTATTTACACCCAAATCAGGCCCAACTTGCAAAAAAGTTGCCGGTTAGATTGAAGAAAATAAATTCAATTATATATGAAATAATTTTAGTTCATCCCGCATAACTTGAACTTATAGTATGCTAACCCACGGGTTGATGAGTTAGCCTGCTTATATTTAAAAAAAATAAAAAAGTAAATAAATGAGACTGAATTTAAAATAAAATATTCCAACAAGTATATATATATATATATATAATGGTGATCTAAGTACTTGATTTCTTTACATTTATTTAATTCAAGTTTAAATTATGGCAAAAAATAATAAAAACACACTACTCATAAGTTTAAGTAGTGATATAATATAATTTGAATATAATTAAAACAAGATTGAATAAAATTTTATTTATATAATAGCTTATTTAAATTATCTTGTTTGCAAAATAGTACTACCCAAGCTAGTAAATAAAAAAAAATTAGTTTCTCTTTTTATTTAAAAAATTAAATATATCTATAAAGTGCTAACCATATATTATATTATCATCTTAATTTAAATATAAAAGGAGAAACAAAATAGATACAGAGATATTAAAATGTTTAGGTGGTATGAATTAAATGTATTATGAGTAATAATCTAATAGTTATTGTTTAAATCATGATTATTTTCTTTTAAAAAATTTGTATTTTAAATTGGGGTATTAATTTTATAGCAAAAATATCAAAATAAAATGAAGAGAAAAGGAAATAGATAGAGTATTTTTATTATTTCATATATGCCTAATACTAATAAGTCATGTAAAAAATGAGAGAACAAAAAGATCACAAAATTAAATTAGTTTATATTCAAGTGATGATATGGGCATGTTTTAATTAAAAAAACTTTTATTGTTATTTAAATAATTAATTTTTAGAGAGAATATACGATTTTTTTTAAGTGAAAAAATAATAAAAATGAGTAAATTCATAATTTTTAAAATTTTAAAAAATTATTTTTATATTTGCAGGTTGGCCCTCTAACCTACCAATTCATTGCGGATTGTGTGGGCTAGCAAAATTCAACCTACACAAAATGCTCCTTATGCCAAACCTAAAACCTGCAACCTGCTGTGGGTTATATGTTGATTCATATTATCAACTTTACATGTATTACCGTGACAGCAAAGAAAATAGAAGTACCAAGTAGAAAGATTAAAAATGACGGGGTAAAGTGCTTTTGAGGACGACAAACTTTTCAACCTACAATGGATCTTTCCGAAACTGTGACCTAGGCTCGTGATTCTATCGTGTAAGATTTGTTGGAGCCTATTGGGGTCCAAGTAGGAAAAACTCTCGCCTCCGTGGTTCAAGACAGCACAGTGCACCGAACCGAGATCACTTTACTACCATGTTATTGGATGGCCGCGTAAATTCATTTATATCCATTCAGTATTTTTGAGACACGGCCATAAAAGGATGGTGATAGTGTTTTTCTAAGAGATAATCATATTTAAGACATGATTATATAATAATAAATGGAAACAGGGAGTTCAAATTAGCGATGACAAGTTAAATCAAAAAAAGGTGCGAGAGCCTAAAAATTCAAGGGGTTCACATTGAAAGGCAGAGAGAGAAATAGAATAAAGCAGAGGCAGATGACAGATGTGGCTAGTGATGGAGTCCACAAAGCCACATGCATGGCCTGCCTAAAGTATTGTCAACCTTTTCAACTGATTTTCTCGTTGGGCCACCACCTCCAACATTTTTTCCCCCAAAAGAAAAAAAAAAAAAACCTTGTTCTTCCCCGTTGCCTCCCAAGTCAAACCCGTACGGACTCCTCCCTTCTTCCTTAAATCTCTCCATCTCAATTCAGTTCCTCGGATTACCTAATCCCCTCCGGATGATTTTTTTCTAATCAAAATAATATAATTTTTAACGAATGAAAACATTTTAACAGTATCTATTATTTAAATATTATTATCCAATAATTCGTATTTCTAAATAAAGTCATTCCAGGATATATAAATTTCGACGACCTAAATCACTCGGCCAATGCCCAAACGGTGTCTGTGGTCTCAGCGACACCGGCTGTTTAAATGGAATATTGAAGCGATAAATGAGTCCGTAATAAGTTGACTAACTAGTGGAGCAAATTAAAAATTCTAGGCTTTGGAATAATTTGACCGTGATGAGCCAATTATGATCACTCTGATACAGAACGCATGTGCCCAGCACCTGCCACTCACTGAACCAGAAACAAACAAGATCAGCAGAATATAGAATCTTGAATGGGAACAAGGTAACGTTGCCCTTCCAACCGCACAGACGGTGCCGTATCTTTTGATTCTCTTGATCGCCATTTTGAATTCCTTCCAATCCTGTTAAACATGGATTTAAGTTCGCAGCTGTTTGGTCCAGTCCACTTTTAGTTCAAAAAAACATACATCTGGTGAACTCAATTCCAAAATAGTCTTGAAGTGGAAACTACTCTTCAATTTTGTTATCAACTTGACCCCGCTTCTTTCAGGAACTGGTTTGGTCCTGCTGGCACTTCCTGTCTTACCCTAAGGGGATTGAACCCCACTCTGCTTCTCCATGTGCCTTTGCTCTTTATGCACAACAATTTCATACCAGGCTATCCCCCCTGGCATGGTTCATTCCACAGTTCCTATGCTTTTCAAGCTTGGCATTGTCTTATTTGAGTTTTTAAGGTTCTATACGTCTTCAGGTTAGATTCTGTTGCCTCGTTTAGACCTAATTTTAACTGTGAACTTGAACATAGGAGAAGTGCCTGCCTCGAGTTCATATTTTTCAAAGCAGTTAAGGACTGAGAATAAGCACGGAGGGATGTGCAGCGTGCAACAACAGAGTCAGGAGTGGCTGTTTGGCGTGAAGAATTCAGCAGCATCGAGCGCTTCGGGAAATTTCACGGGGAATTGACAGGTAAGTAAAAGTTACAGACTCTAGCACACTTGTCACCTCGGAAATTAATTCAAGAAAGATCAAGAGTCAATTTATGAGGTTGATGTGTCAGCTCAGGTTCACATGGTAGACCGTGTCTCTACATATTAAGAATCTATAGTTCTGCTAAAGTAAATATATGTAGACCATTGTGGCAATTGTGGTCCACGGTAAACAGAGGGGATGAGAGAGAGAGAGAGAGAGAGAGAGAGATCTTTGAGAAAATATATTTAGAAATTAATGAAGTGAAGATCTAGAGTCAACTGTCATGTGGCAGTAAGTGCTAGTTACTTTGTAGACCATGTAGTTCTTATTAACAAGAGTTAAATTTCAGCAAGATTAACCAACTAATTGAGAAGATCTTTGATCTCATTCATTATTTGAGCTGCTTTTTTCCTTTGGTAGTTTCGGCTGATTTGAAATGTTTGCAGAAGTTTGTTGAAAGAAGGGGAACAAAAGAATGGAAAACGAAGGAGAGGAAGAAGTACCCTCAAGGTTGCTTAATGCTGCACTGTATTCTTTCATCATGTGTACCAAATGAAAAGAAAAAAAGAAACAACACAAAGTATAAAAGGAAAAGGACAAGAAAGGGCAAGATCCTTGTTCTTTAGACAAGTCCAAATGTGGGGAAGGTAAGAATCTAAGGTGATCCAAGCACATGCAGACAAACCTGTTTGAGAAAATAAAGAAGGACTCGCCCTTTATGTACGTGAAAAGCAGATCAACACCGAAGCATCAACCCTAGAGTCCCCTCAAGCCTCTCTTTCCTCTTTTGCCTTCCCCCCTTCACCTCCCTCTTATCCTCCAAAAGCCCTTATGCGCGACTCTTTGAAGAACAAGCTGGATTTTCTCCTCGCTTCCCCATCACCAGACGAAGAACAAGTTTAACCTATCTGATTCAACCCTGTGGTGACATCTCGAACGTGGAGCATTCTGATGAGGCTAAGTAGGGCAAAAGATTGCATTGGGTAAGTGTGCAGACTTGGTGTGCCTGGCTCCCCGTATGCCATTTGCAGAGCCCATCAGCAAAAGTGATGGCCTTAACGAATGGCGTGCGAGGAGCCATGCATGCTGTGTAATATACTGTTCATCTATAGTAAAAGCTGATCTCCTCTGTGCTCTTTCTAGTGTTTCAATCTATTTTGCTTTTGCCCCTTTGTTTTCTTTCCCCTCACCATTATTTTTGTGAGAGAAGGCTCCCCATGGCGTCCGCTAATTTAGGCTAACCATCAGCTGGTTGTCTAACGAAGCTTGTTAGTCCGAAATTGCCATTGACTTGGGTGACAGGTAGGTTATATTAGGTGTGCAGATGAATATATATATTAAAGTGAATGCGTCCCATGATAATCAATTTAGAGGTCAATTGACATCCGCTGTCCTCCATTCAGTAAATATCATAATCACCTTAAAGTTGACGGAGTCACCAATCTCTGTCACACTTGTATGGACGGACACCTTTGTTGTCATCGAGCTTGTTCATTTTTTTGACACATCACTTCGGTTTGTTTTCTTTTATATTAAGAGACAATTCAATCCAAAGGAGGCACCATTTTGGACTCCTCGCCAAAGCAATCGATTTGTGTGGCCAATAGATTTCGTTTTGGTCCTTTGTAGCTTTCCATGATTCATCAGTAGGCACCGTCCAGATTCTGAATAAGCTCTCAACATACTTCCCCTTATCCCCTCTTCTTCTTGTCCTTGTTATATATGACTGATGAGCTAACGGTTTTAATTTTGATGTCGTACGTGCTTGATAATTTCTGCACGTCATGTCTAGATATGGATCTGCGTACTCTCAAAATAACTAGAGCTAATATTTAGGTTGATTGAACACTGGAGGCCCTGAAGAAGTGCTGCAACAAAGCAGGCTTTCCAATTTCCAAATGCAGACCCGTTTGTTAATTTTTGGGGCCAGTGTCTCGGGGTGTGCCAGTGTCCTTTTTGTTAGCTGTTAGACAGAACCCGTTGTTTTGTGGAACAAAATAAATGTGACAGAGTAGCTTCTTGTATCAACACGGGTGCGGTGGGGAAATAAATAGATAAATGGAACATTTAAAGCACCAAGTCTTCGCCCTCGGGTAATGTTGACTTGATGGAAAAGAACGTAGGTGCTCAATAATGCACCTTGAAGTGACGTGACTGATTGAAGACAGGGGAAATGAAGATAGAGATAACAGAGGATTCAATCCAAAACACAGTAACGGCGTCAATACAGGGAGGGAGACGGTCGGGGGGTTGAATGTTGATGGAGGTCGAATTTGGCAGCGTCCGTCGGCATTTTTTTTTTTAATGAAAAAAACCAATAACTCTATTAATCATTAATCAATTAAATAATAACTGAAAAGGAGTGTACGAATTGAATATGTCCATATATTTTACGTGGTAAATGATGTGACCCGCGGTTTCCCTCCGCTTGGAAGCATCTGTATCATAGATATTTCTATCAAACAAATATTTTAAAAAGCCCACAAGGTCATAAACAAAGTTGTGCTTTTATTTTGCGATATCCCTTTTATCTCAGCAATAAATAACGTCAATTTACAAAAAAAGAAAAAGAAAAAGGTTTATTTGACGACGGTCTCCATTATCACATTGCCAGTGCATACGGTCAAAAATGGAATTTTCTGGTTGAAGCTTTGAAGGAAAACAAATTAATGGAATTCAGTTCTCCGGGACGGAGACCTGAACATGGGCAATAAATCAATTTAAAATTAATTTAATACAGACGCGTAGAATACAAAAAGAATTACAAGAATGGAGTACTATCGATTCTCAATGAGGGGAATGAATTGGGAATGATCGATGTGAGATTAAAATTAAAATGCGATAAATGAGAATCCCTCATTTTACAAAGAGAATGTAATCAACGGGCTAGATTGGAGGAGCTCCAGATGGAAGTTGCAAAGGTAGCTGCGCCGGAGGAGGATACTTCTGATGAATGGGACGGCTCTCTGATTCGGATAGCCCTGAGATCAGCCACCACCCCTGGTTTTGAAATGCTCACACTCGCCATATCGATCTTGTTGCTCAACATTTCTACTACTTGTGTCATTCGTGGCCTCAGCTTCGCCGTTTCTTGCACGCAAAGCAGCCCCACCTTCAGGAATCTCGCGCCTTCTTCCTCTGGCCATCTCTCCTTCAGCTCTGCATCCACCATTTTCGCCACATCACCGCCTTCATACGCCGACCACGCCTGCAATTGCAAACACCCTTTCGGATTAATCTCACTCTAGTTTTCTAAACAGTGAGAATTTAGCTTCTCTCTGGCTCTAATTTAGTTTCCGCACCTTCTCAACCAGGAAACGTTCCGTGTCCTGATAGGGATCGACCACTGGCAGGCCGCTCACAATTTCGAGGACTAACACTCCGTAGCTATAAACATCTGATTTTCTCGTTACCTTCCCAGAACTGGCATATTCCGGAGCCAGATAACCCCTTTGGCGATTTTAGAGGTGAGGTGACGTTACCATCACCCAATAGTCAGCACAATTTTTCAAGAAATATGAAAAGAAAAGAAGAAAAAGAACCAATTTTGATTCCGGAAACGAAGGGAATTTAGTTCATACAATGTCCCCGCAACTTGAGTGCTAACGTAAGACTTGTCGTCTCTCAGTAACTTTGCCAGGCCAAAGTCGGAAAGTTTCGGCCTCAGACGTCGGTCAAGGAGTATATTTCTGGCTTTGATGTCCCTGTGCACAATATAGGGTCTAATTTCCTCGTGAAGGTAGGCAAGCCCTCTGGCCACTCCTATGCATATGTCCCTCCTTGATTCCCAGTTGAATCTCATCCTGCCCTCCTGTGAACCTATATATTCCAAATACTCCGAATCCATCCTCTTAATTCCCCTAATGTCTTATATTCACAATGTTTTATTACTTACCTAAAAAGTAGTGGTGAAGGCTGTTGTTTTCCATGTACTCGTAGACCAAGTATCTGTGAGCTCCTTCCACGCAACAGCCTCGAAGAGTGACTAGATTCTCGTGCTTAATATCGCCCAACGTGCCCAGTTCTGCTACAAATTCCTTCTCGCCCTGCAGGGAATCCAGTTCGATCGAAAGCACTTTGACTGCCACAAATGTGCCGTCCAGAAGCCGCCCCTTTTAAAAGTCAAGTTTTACGATAGAAATTCGCAGGGTGGTTCAAAATCCTAGTTACCCCAAGTAAAAGAAACGAGTATATATAATTAACCTTGTACACGGTGCCGAAACCGCCTTCTCCAATCTTGTTCGAGGAATCGAAACGCTGGGTCGCGGATTTTAATTCGCTGTATGTAAATACACGAAATGTTCCTTCACTCTCTCTGCCTGGAACATTTCAGAGACAAAGAGAGAGAGTGTAATTCGTAGTTGAATCGGTTAGCAGATCCACTATCATCAGAACGAGGAGAAAGGACAGAGAACGGAAATACCTTGCTCGGTTTGGTGTTGAACCGATCGTGAGAAACAAGCAGACAGAGAACAGAGAATCTTCATGCCTCAGGGACAGCTTGGAAGTTTGAACCTTGGCTGGATCTCTGAGATGGAAGAGAAAAGAGGAAGAACATGGCGCGGGAACAGAGAAGTAAACACCGCACACGGCATACCTAAGAATGAGACCTTGTCTTCGTACGTGTTTAATTGTATTGGATCTTTCATATTTGACGCTTTCTTCCCCTTCGGCGAGGGGAAAATCATAGTGAGAGTAATTATACATATCCTGAAGGACATGATCATGAACATGCATATTAAAAATCGTACTTGAAAATGGGGGATTAAAATTAAGACAAGTTCATTGAACTGCCCTTTTAACTTAAAAAAAATTTAAGATTCGGCCGCTACTTTAAAATATAAAATAATAATTCATGTTTAAAAAAACTAATTTTTTTAAGCTTTAAAATAAAAGGCTGGCCCTTTTATATTTTTTTAAATTTTAATGTTAAAAAATTAAATACTACATTAATTTTAAAAACTCTAGTATCACTTTACAGGGGTGAAGAAGGAGTGCATAAAAAACTTAATACTTTTATCACTCTCAAAAAAAATGATAAAATTATATTGATGTTGATGACAATGAAAATCATTAAGATTTCGCTCATGATAATAGCGAAATCTAATTGTTATCAGTATTAATTCTGTGATGTTATTTTTTATTAAATTTAAATTTATTTTTATACATTTGATATCATGCGTAATAATTTTGTTGAGATTTTAAATATGCTTTTTTAAATTAAAAAATAAAAATATATAGGGTCAAGATTCGAAGGGCAAAGGTCGGGTTGATCAAAATAAAATCTTAATGTATAATCAAGCTTTAAATAACTAACTCATTTAAGCCCTAATATTTCAAGAACTAATCTTAATTGATACATCTACTTAAAATAAAAAAAAGATTTAAGTGTGTTTTGTTCTTATTTAAAGAACAAATCATATTTTATTGTATATTAAAAAATAATATTTATATAGGGGCGAGGATATTTAACTTAAAAAGTTGAAAAATATGAAAATGTTTGAACGAATTTAGGCCACTCAATTCAACAAAGTTAGGCAGCTCCAATTTCATGACTCATCATCATGGATGAATGAATATCCGGTTCCATTTTTCCACGACCACAAGCACTATACAAAAAGTCTCAACTTTCATTGGTACAGTACCATCCAAAAATGGAATTGAATATCCGGTTCCATTTTTCATATTTTATTGTATATTAAAAATAAAATTTATATATAAATTAATTAATTAATTTCAACTATATATAAATTAATTAATTAATTAATACCCAAATCTCATCGTTAAATGGTGTACTTAGTCAATCATCATTTCATTCTCTTCGTCCTTGAGTACTAGTACCTTGACCTTCCTGTCCTTCTCAGCTCTCTTTTTACCTTGTCAGATCGATGCTTCTACCACGTCGTCCTAATCTTTTCCTTCCCTTCCCTTCTTTGCCTTGATTTTCCACGCATTATGATCCTCAACGGCGTCGTTTCGGACCCCCAGACCTACTGTCAATGGTATTTTTTTTTTTTTTAACTCTCACAAACTATGACTCTGTGTGTATTTTGATTTTGGGAGAGATTTTGCGTCCCAACACACATTTTAAAATATAAAACATTTTAATAAAAATAAAATTTTATTAATATTTTTTTTCTAATATCACTATTCTTGCATGCTTTTTTTATTTAATATTCTTTCATAAATAAAATATTAATTGAATGTTTTTTTAGTTTATATTGTTGTTTTGTAAAAATAAAACTGTAAAATATATTTAACAAACTTTAGCTGTACATATGATTTTGTTTAAACATGTTTTTATAAATTGAGATGGGGGAGTATTTAATTGAAAGCACATGAAATTATGACAAATTTTCAATCTTATCCTTAATAATATTATAATTAATATCCTAATATTAGGATAGTATGTAAAGCACATGATTAAATTTTCTTTCCATCTTCGATATAATAAAAACAAAATGGGCCAAATACTCAAAACTATTATGTCACCTTTCATATCTAATAAGGACAAAACAAGCTGATATAAAATACAGGAAGGAATAACACATTAACACGTGAAACTTTTACATTTATGAGTGGTTAGGATCATAATTATTTTCTATTTGGAGCTTGTATGCAAGTCTGCCTTAATCAATGATAATAGAGTGAGGCATTGGAGATGGGGTTAGGCGAAAATCAGATGGAACTCCAATGTATACATTTTGACATGTGGAAGCTGGTGTGTTTGCAGTGCTGGGGCAGGAGGAAACGTGAAATTAGTATTTGAACGCAACACTTAATCCAAACCCCACAAGAAAACAAGTGGCTTCGGATCGATTTTGACGCTGGGGGACCACTTGTTCAATGAATAGGCACTCCACAAATTAATCAGCTATCTCGGCTCTTCCCTTGTAATTTAATCAACTAGGAAGTGTCGGGACAGCATGGTGAATCGCTTAAGAGTTTTTAACGCGTCTGTAGGAATCTATTGACGGGTCAAAAACAGGATTCAAACAGAGGGAGACGAGAGTAGGGTTGAATTCATACTTGCAAAGCCGTATCAATAATTCAGAACCAGATGCAACATTATGTCAGCGAAAAACAAATCAAATAAAATAAAATTTTAAAGCTGTGAATATTCTGGAAACAAACGAAATTAAAATGATATACATAGGCTATAGAGAGAGGGAGGGAGATGCAACAAAAATATCAAATGCTTACATCCCGAGGCTTGGCATTGGCAGTGGAAAGGACCCATAACTGTCATTAAATAAGTTTATTTTGCAGAAAGCCAGCTAGCCAACAACTTCATAAAGGTTTGCCTTCCTGATATCTGCTCTTACAATATTCTCTATATTAAATTATAAAATATTTTTTTGAGAAAAATATGATAAAATGCTTTCAGAATTAAATAAATTTATTTCAATGTTAATATTTCTTTCTCTATTAAATTTGTGTCCCTCTCTTTTCGTTATAATATTCATTTCAATATACTAAATGTAGGATGTTTATAAAAATTTGTATTTTTTTAAAAAAATAAAGCTATAAAATGTATTTAATAAATTTTATTGATATGTAAAATTTTATCCAAGAGTATTTTATTATTTGGAACGTAGTGAGTAACACAAATGCTTTTATTATTCATACTAATTTTAGAATATTAAATATCTCGAAATACAATACCTTAATGGCATACTTCATTCGTTTTTATATAAAAAAAAATTGTCACTTGTTTTTTTATAAATTTAATCACATATCTTAATAAACATTTATTATAATTTTTTTAACCTACCCCTTATAAACTCACAATTTTTATTTACAAAAAACAATTAACGTAGCCTTCTTTCGATTGGATACAGGGGTATCGTAGTTTAGTTTTTTTAAAAAAATTTATACATAATTATTATAATTAATTGATTTTTAAAAAATATATGATGCAATTATTTTATATAGAGAGAGAGAGAGTTGGGGGGGGGGGAGAGCTTCTGAACGGTCCCGTTTCCAATTTTAACTGCAAACAAAATCTCAACTCACGAGTAATTGCCGAAAAGAAAAGGCAACAGAAAGAGGGAGCGAGGGAGAGAAGGAGACTTGACCCAGGAGGCTCCATTCACGGATTGATTGACCCTTCTGGGACCGGACCAACGATTTGACGGATTATTTAATTTTTATTGTAAGACATACGTATGACATAATTCAAGCATTCCTCTGATTATAATTAGTTCTTTATTGACAAGTCAATTGGCTTGAGTGATGTCAATGGTATAACGTGATTTTAATACGCAACTTAAAATTTAATCACGTGCTATATATGAATCACTGTTGTCAAGAAAGAGCCATATGCATAAAATGGACAGTTGCTGCATAGAAATATGTAACATGGCAAGTGCGTGGGTCAAATACATATTGTAATAATGTATCAAGGTTGTTCCCACAAAAACTTTGATCAAAATAATAATTAGGTATTAAAATTTTCATTGTTCATTCAAGTTAAGCAAAATAAAATGGAATTGATATTGAAAAATAAAATTGATTTTTTTAATGAGAAAATGTACTGAAATACCAAAAGGTACAACAATTAAGCAAGGGCTGCAAAGAAAATCCTCCCTTAGTACAATAAGAGGGTGGTTGATCAAAAATAAAATAGGATTTTATCATTTTATCAACATTCCTAGCCAGATTGTGAACCCAAAAATTAGCTTTCATAAACATGAATTGAATAGAAACATGTCAATTCCTAAATAACAGTAACTTGACATGATCAATTATATATTTAAATTTAGGGTTGTATAAAGGATTGACTCGCAGGACTTTGGCCTAACTTAAAATCTGGCTCTTTTAATGAAAAGAATTAAGTTAGACAACTTGTAATCTAGTTGAGTCCTGGTATAACCTAAAGCCAAACAAGACCAAACTGATTCAGTAGGACTAGGAGATGGGTCTCGGTCTTGTCTAGTATTTCATTTTGTTTTTTTTCTTTTCCATCTATAAGAGATAGCAATTTATTTTAATATAATAAATTCAATTAACATAATAAAATTACTTGTAGTCATATAAAATTTATTACAATAACAACAATTATAAATCTACAACAGTCTTCAACAACAATAAAAAGTATTCCAATTACAACATAAGGAATTTAAATTAAACAATCTTCAACAACATTAAATAACTTTCACCATATTTAAAGTCCATTACACCAAATTAACAACAAATTTTACCAATAAAAGGAGAAAAAAAAATTTTGCTCAATATTCATGATTTCACAACTCACAGGTATAAAACACAAAAATTACTATTTAGTATAATGAATTAACTTATTATAATAATAATTAATAAATTAATTATAATTATATTAAATAAATTTATAGGACTAAACTGAACCAAGTAGTCTAACTGCTTGATCTCTTATCCAGTCAAACCCAAAAAAAAGTTTGATCATTTCATTTTTTTTGTCTTGAAAGACCAATTTTTATTCAGATTGGGTTGTCTCGGGTTAGGTTGGGCTTAATTAGATCAAAAGACTTTTGCATAACCCTATCTAAATGGATGATAGCCATTGAAAGCTATCAAAGATAAGAAAGATAAATAAGATAAGGATAAAAAAATGTTACATCTATTACTAATATGAAGGGTACATTATATATACAAAGAAAATAGATAATACAATAATGACTAATAATTATATAATAATATCAAATAATAT